ATATATATATATATATATATATATATATGCACCACATGGATTGATTATGTGGAAAAAGATCTCAAGACCATGGGAATCAATAAATGGAGAAATCTAATGTCTGGTCAAGCCAGATGGAAACGGCGACTAGTTGGGACGGCTCTGGCCTGTACTAGGATGCTGATGAAATTTCATATATAATCTGATAAGGAACACATTGGCCGAAATTGGAGATTTCATATCGGGATAGCAACGTGTTATTTAGCATCGCTGTCTGTTACTTCGAAAATCACAAAATATAGAAATGAAACTTTTCTTTTCTGAGAAGGAAGCTGCAAAATTCGCAGGAATAACAGCAAAATTTTTTTTAGCTCTATCTGATCTACATCAATCACTGATAGAAATATTTCACAAAAATTGTTTTCAGAATACAAGAGGATGAAAAAAAAACCCTGGAAAAAAACACTGTAAAAAAAGTCCCTTTAAAATCGCAGTGCAAAACTGACACATAAAATGGTGGTGATGAAAGATTAAAGGCTTAAAATATTTATTTAAATGTATATAGATATTTTTTTTGAAAAATTAATTTATACACAAAATTAAACTTAAAGTGTGCATAAAAAAGTACCATTAATATTTCATTACATATTACCTATAATAGAATATTATCATTAATTATCCATGAGCAATATTCATGAGCAATTCAGTGCTTGTGCAGTTAGAATCACTCTTGTTTTTATCATATACAGGTCGAAACATATACATACATGCCAACTTTTACGCATTTCCAGTAAAACTTTATTTTTATATTTAAAGTGGTAGTAAATATATACTTTTTTTTCTTTTATAAATAGAATTTTTAAATTATTTTGATCATCACTATTCTTAAAAAGATTAAGCATATAGATTAATATGCGTTTCATACTCAGCGTTATAACACCACTATCAGTACTGGCACTGCAAATTCCAGCCCCGCCCAGATCCCAACTACTTGACCAAACAGATCTCAGCACCACATCAATATGATCTTAATAGTTCTTTTGCTTAATCTTTTCCTTTCTAGATTCCACATCAAGATGAAAGCATCTAAAGACCAACAAGTTGAAGAGGTAAAAGGCCCCTTCGGGGCCTGAAGGCCTCAGCCAAATCGAAGACGACGACTCAGCGTTACATATTCATAGTACACGTTGCATTCTCATGGTTGTCATACTCAGATATGACTATAATTTTTAAAGAGGCTTCTCGGCCAACACTCGAATCTATTCCAAACCAAAGCCATTTAGTCTCATTACACCAGATTATTAGATGAAGGAGTGAGATGCCCGCTTCGCGGTCAGGTACTATGTTTTAAAAACATATAAAGTCAATCATGGTTGTCATCTAAAGCTTAATAAATACAACGTATTTTATTTGTTTAAAATGGAAATTTTAATACCACTGGGAAAAATCTTTATGGAAAGAATTAAAAGTTGGCAGGTATGCATATATACTGTAATTAATTTATGTTTAGATAACTACAAAAAATTAAGTGTATTTAAAGTAGTTAATAAAAGTGGTTAAAATTAAGTATACTTATTTTAAAATATAGATAAAGAATCATTATTACGGAATATCCTGAATAGAAAGTGAAAACAGCAGAGATGCCAACTCTTTCCGGACGGCAAATATGTATTTTAAAGTGGTAATTTATCAATTGTGATTCTTGGATTAATAAATTCAGTTTGGTAGATTTTTATCCACCACTATTTCTAAATAATTCCTAGGCTTAAATAATTCACTACTTCATAGTACTCATGTCGTGCTATATCTTTTAAAAAGCAAGCAAAAATAGTCAAGTATTTGCAAGATACACTTCATAGCTATTTACCGTTTTTTTTAATTATTTTGGCTTGTCCGGAGCAGTTGGCATCTCTGAAACAGTAGAAATTTTAATAACAAAAGTAAAGACACAATCATTAAAGCAATAAACCTTACATATGTTAAAGCAACTGAAGTCTAACACTTTAAAAACGAAGTTTTTTCTAGAACTAAAAAAAAAAGGTAGGAACCACTAAGTGTTTGCTGGACAAGACCCACAGTTAACACAATTACCATATACTCACAGAACCAATAAATAAAGTGGGTATTAAACATTAACCGGTTAACTCCCAGCGTCATATATTTAGGACAGTTCCTGTTTTCAAAGACATTCATTGTGGTGGGAAACTCTTTTCAGTATTTTCATTTATCTGGGTGAATTAAAAGATTCTCAGATACCACAATGAATTAGTTATTTCTGATTAGATGTAGAATTATAAGAAGCAAGTACTTTTTGATCTATCAAAGACTTTTTGATTGCTCTAACTGTAGAAAAACCAATTAATTTCGATAATATATTTTACCACTTTTTCCATAAAGCCACTTTTTGTATCATTTCAATATATAAATTCGGGACAAAACAGGTTAAAGTGGTAAGTAATTTATGGTGCCAAAGAGGAACTCTCGAGTGCAAAGGGTTAATAATAGAAAGACGAATACAATTATTAAGCAATATTCAGTTCTTCATACTGGTAGAAGCTTTATTTCATGTAAACAAATTGAGTTTTATTTTAATTGTCACTGTTGTGTGAAACAGTTTCTGTTTCCTTATACTTTTATACATTTTCAAAGATCCTTTTCTAAATTATTTCAATAACTGATGTAGTGGGTGAAAAGATCTCTAATCTGTATCATTGCATTCCACGAAACCTACGTTTTGTGAAATGGTTTCAAATTCTTCTTCTTCATCACCAAAACTTCGTTTCTTATTTCCTTCAGTAATTTTAAACTTAACGATTTCGTAAATCAGTACCATTGTTGAAATGCTAAATCCGACGCCTAATAATATAAACGTCCCTTGAAGATCCGTCAAACCAAGAGCCCTAAATTCTTCTTTATCATGAACAACATTTTTGTAATGTTGTAAACGAAACATAAACACGAAATGATCAAAGTCTTTCTCGTAAATACCATGCTCCACCAATCTGGTCAAAATATTATCAAACTGCCTCTTAAGTGGGAAAGTTCGAGATAAAAGACCGCAAAGAGTGGCCAAGACAATATAATCTTTGGAAAGGATCATTTCGGGGTCTATAGTACCATAAAGTTTTCTAGTAACGACTGCACTTGGGACTGCATAATTATTTTTGAGTAAAGATCCAAAAGTATCTTTGTTTACCGGCATTATCCAGTTATTTTTTTGTATGATGTCCGCTATCTCAGTATATTTGGAGAGGGGACTTTGTCGCATATTTTCCAGATAAACCTTCATTGTTGAATCAGTCATCACCTTATATTTTCCTGCTTTGACAGCATCTAGTAGCTTTTCATCTGTATCAAGAGGTGGTGGTCGTCTGGGCATCATCATAATACCAAGGATAACTGCCATGTATGCTAAAGTGAGAAACAGTGCACCTATATTCCAAAATAGACTCAACAATTCTTGAGAATATGATTTCCCGATTTTTATAACAGGTTCTTGTAGTAATAATTCCCCAATTCTGCTAAAACAATGATCAGCAAATGTATATTTTCTACCATGAATCCAATAGGAAATGAAGGCAACGATAATAATAGAAAATAGAATAGTTAACCACAAGTCGTCGTCAAATATCTTAATTAACGTGTCATGTTTTATAACTGGATCTGGCATTTTTGTGATGAAGCGAATATTCCCTGCTCTATACGAAACCGTTGCGTAAGCGAAAAGATTACTCCAATAGTTCTGTACCATTGCACCTATTGCAACATCGGTTTCGTTCTTTTGTATCATGCCTGGACAACCTGTCCAAGAGCCATTTTCAAATCTGATGCCAAGACCATCATCGTCGGGAACTAAATAATCAAATTCCACTCCTAAGTTCTCGGCTAAAGCTTGGACCACGGATGCTTCAAAACCTCCGAAACCTGGTTTCGGACCTGGAAGTCTAACAGTGTTGATCACTGTATTATGTGTTTCATGAATGCACATTCTGAATCTTCTTCTATTTCCGGGGAAGGAGATTAATTTTCGTAATGATGTATGCACCATTCTACCAGATCCTCAGTTGAGAAAACTTAAGCTTGTTCGTTCTTTGCAAATAGAATTTAGAGCCAGAGATGCAGATTGTAATAATATATTTAGTTCATTTTAAAAGCTGTACAAAACATAGGTGTATTCAACGATCCTTAATCAAATTGCATGTTAGTCTATAATAGTTGTATTTTGATTAGTTTGTTGTTCGGAATTTTTTTACTCGCGAGATAATTACATTGGAACTTATTGGATTGTTATCCCTATATTAGCATACATATTGTGTTGACATTAAAAATGAAAAACACATATCTAGTTATTTTGAAACACGCATACCCTGTTATATGAAAAAGTAATGATAAATATTCCGTTCCTATAGCCTTAGAAAACCTTTCAAAAAAATCTAATGTTTCTTAAAAAAAAAA